GTTTAATGTTTATCAGTACATTACAGAAAATAATGAACTTTATCACAATATGCTCATTTTTTGAGAAGGACCTATAATTGCATATTTGCAAGTATCTGAAAAAAAATCTGACTTTTCCAGCTGGTATTTTTTTTCAGGCCTTCAAAATCCCCTAAATTCCTATTTTATGCAAGTAGCTATCCATTCAATTAGGCCCGAACTCAGGATCAAAGGCACACCATTGAATTACCTGTATTTTATCAGCCAACTGGTAATCCATCCCTCCATCCATCCATCCATCTATCCATCCATCCATCCATCCATCCATCATCATCTATACTCGCTTCTTCCTTTCAGGGTCACGAGGGTCACTGGTGCCCGTATCCAGCAGTTAGTGCGAGGGGCAGGGTATATTCTGGACAGGTCACAAGTCCATCACAGGGACACACAAACGAGACAAACAGCCATTCACTCTCTCACTCACACCTAGAGATAATTTAGAGTTTCCAACCTAACGGTCATGTTTTGATCTGTACACAGCATATTTTTTATAACAACTGATAATGTATATGTCCAAATAATTTAATTACATGAATGGGGTAAAGAATTTAACTATGTGCCTGGACAATATATCCCCATATTACCTCTGTCAGACTCAAATGTGAACTCTCCATAAAACTGATGCAACCCCGATGAGCAGGAGGTGATGTAGCATCTCATTCAGCTCACTGTTTACAGAAGTAAATATGGAGGCTGCATGTTAACATGTGTATCAGTTTAATTATCTGACACACCTGTTTAGTTCACTGTTTACATTTGAAGACTCCTCTGGCCAGCTGCTCTGCTGCAGCATGTATTTTTGGAACAGGAGAGACGTGCTGGATGTAAAATGAACTAAAGTATCGATCTAGTAATTTTAGTATCGATATGGTCCGAGTCCGACATTACTATCATTATTTCTGTGGATTCTCAGTCATCCAGGAAATGGAAAATTAAAAGAAACTAGACATGGGTTTTTATGATGTAAAAATAAGTGTGCATTGCCTTGTAGCATGTCATTGCAGCATGGCTTTGCCTGCAGCAGTGGACTTGCAGAATGAAATGTGACCAAGTTCAAATGTGTTTTCTACCAACTTGTGCTTGTCAAGTCAGCAGGTGTTTGTAAT